TTTGCGGCAGGTGCTAGAGCAGCGCCACGCATACCGCAGACCGACAATAGCTGTGTTCCTCGATTTCAAGAGTGCGTTCGATTCAGTCGATCGATCGATTCTGTTCGAATTACTTGCGCGAAAAGGTGTTCCCACGAAATATGTGAACATCCTTCGTGCGTTATACTTGAACACTACAGGCCGCGTCAGGGTCTACGGTGTCCTATCGGATAGCTTTTCGACTACAAGTGGCGTTCTTCCGGGTTGTCTGATTTCCCCGTTTTTGTTCAATTTCGTCGTGGATTCTATCATGGAGTGTTCCCTTGCGGAATCCAACGATGTAGGCGTTGAAGTGCTGCCTGGTGAAAGGTTAGTTGATCTAGATTATGCGGACGATATCGTCTTGCTTTTCGACGATTTTGCGGCGGCACAATCAACCCTGAATAGCCTGTCCAGAGTGGTCCCTTTATTTGGTATGCACTTCGCACCTTCAAAGTGCAAAGTGTTGCTGCAGGACCACCAGCCACTTGATGACCCTTTGACGCTTGATAACGAGGAACTCGAGGTGGTTGATCATTTCACTTATCTTGGCAGCTGCATCAGCAATGATGGGCGCATAGAAACTGACGTGAGCTCACGCATTGCAAAAGCCAGAGCTGCCTTCTTGAACCTGCGTCATCTTTGGCGACATAAGGGAGTTTCCCTCCGTCTGAAAGGCCGTGTATACAAGGCCACAGTGAGGGCCGTTCTGCTCTATGGTAGTGAAACTTGGCCCCTTCGGTCTGAAGATCTGAGGCGCCTTCAAGTCTTTGATCATCGTTGTCTGCGAAGCATTGCTGGTGTCGGATGGCACTAGCGTATCCCCAACGATGATGTGCGTAGGCGAGTACTAGGTAGTGATAATCATGCTAGCTCCCTAGAACAACAAATAGCACTGAATAAGTTGCGTTGGCTCGGGCACGTGCTACGCATGCCTGGTCACCGCTTACCTAGGATGGCCTTGTTCCGTCTCCCTGGTGTAGGATGACGCAAGGCTCGAGGTGGACAGAAGTTGACTTGGCAGCGGGAAATGAAGTCACTGACGACCAAACTGGGTGCCGTTGGTCCGTCTCGCCTTCCGGGTTGGAGTCCACGTGACTCACCTTTTGCTTGGCTCGTGACTTTGCATGAAATGGCTCGCAACCGACACCAGTGGCGCGTCTGCTGCCGTCTCCTAATCGGATTGTCTGTTTAAAGTGTGTTTGGTGCTGAGTTATCTGTGGGGTAATGGCTGATTATGACGCGTGGCAGTGAAAGCCGCAAGGAAGCTGTCTCGCCGATGCCGCCTTATCTTTGCACGATAGCCAGCTGTTTGTGACGGTATGTTGTCTACACAAGGTGTAGGCGCCTTGACACAGAATGTTTGCTTAAGGCATTAAGATTTTCAGGTAAGTCCCCCTTCTCTCCCTCTTATTATTTATTTCATAGGTCCTCATGATTGTATGGCAGCGAAGCATCAGTTCAAATGGCTGATGTACTGCTGTTGATGATGATGATGATGTATATATCTAACGTAAGATCAGACTGTTGAAATTGTGTAAGGCCGCAGGGGCAGATGGTCTTCCTCCAGCCCTCTTCAAATTCCGCAGTCTTGCTCTCCTAGGTTATTTACACGTGTTACTAGGGAAACTGTGGGGGAAGGAAACTGTCCCAACAGTCTGGAGCCGCTCCATTATAGTCCCGATTTCCAAGGGAGGCTCCGTTCAGACTGCGGCAATCATAAAGCGATCCGTGTGATCTCAATTGCCTCCAAATTGCTTACGCCTGTCGTTCTCTATAAATTGCACTCGTGGAAGTCAGCTTCGCGAGGAGCAAGCCGGGTTTCATCGAAATTGAGGCTGCATCAACCACATCTCCACGTCAATTGTGGCAGCACCGCCATATTTTTTGACAACCCACCGTAGTCGTGTTTCTCGTCATCAAAGGTGCCTTCGATTCGATGGATCGTTGTCTCCTTTGGGACTGTCTGCTTTGGAATGGTGTATCCGACAAATACGTAGACATTATCAGAGTGCTGTACGCACATATTTCGGACAGAGGCTTTCTGACTAATCTGTTGCCGTTCTTCAATAGCTCCAGCAGTGCGAGATGCTTGCCCGTTGTCACCTTTCCTCTATAACTTCGCCATTGACGAAGTCATGGAAACAGCGTGCGCTAGACACGACTTAGAAGGTGCGGAGCGACTTCCTGACTTGGAGTATGCGAACGCTATTGCCCTAAGCTATGACAGCTCCCAGACGTACCAAGGAGCACTGGACAGATTAGCACTAGCTGTCAATCGTTTTGGGCCATGCTTTGCTCCTTCAAACTGCATAGTCCTCAAGATTGGCAGGGACCCACTCATGCGCTGACCCTTAGTAGTGATAAGCTAGAACTCGTTCAGTAATTCGAGGATCTAGACGGTTGCATAAGCGCCTGTGGGGTTAGAGATGAGGTCGCGAACCCTATAGCAAAGGCTCGAGGTGCTTTTGCCAATCTCCACCTGTGGCGCCGACGCGATATCACTCACACCATGAAGGACAGAGTTTATAATGCCACCGTCTATTCAACCCTCCTGTACGTTTGTGAAGCTTGACCCGTCAGGTTGACATAAAGAGGCTAGCTATGTTCGACGATCGCTGCCTTCACAATATGGTTCGTGTCTGGTGGGAGCCCCGCGTGATCAATGAGCGTGTTCGGAGCTGCGTATTTGGTGCAAGAAGCTTGAGTGAACCGCTCAGCACCGATATATCTCGCGCTGGGCTCCGATGGTTGGGCCACGTGTTGCATATGCCAGCTTACCGACTCCCGCGATTTGCGTTGTTTGCGCCTCCTGGTCGTGGATAGAAAAGGAGGCGAGGCTAAGCAATAAATTTGTAAGACGGAATGAAAATTTCGAATTTGGCTTTGTTTGGTGCATTCCGCTTGCCAAGCTTGGTCCGAAGGATGATGAACACGTTTGGTTGGGCACACTTGCTGATATGACTGGGAGCCGACCCTAATGGCGTTTGTTCTGCTTCTTTGTCCACCGCTTATCTTTTAGATCCCCTCCAACAACGATCTCATAACAAATGTCTAAGACATATTTTCTATATTATTCGTTTTTTATTTTTGCCACGTACTTTTAGTGTCCTCTCTTTTCTCTATTGCGGCACATTAGTTGATTTATGTTTATCATCATCAGTTAACCTACATTGATGATGGTGGTCTGAAACTTATCCTCTCTCGGGCCGGAAGGGAATACAGTGAGACGCGCAAAGATCTCAGGGCAAAACTGCGAAGCATGGTGATCTTCTTGTGCCTCAGAGATAGAGACAGCCGCTGCCTTTCATAACTTTCATACGTTATTCCGTCTGATGCAGTAAACGAGATGTAGGAGACTTGGTGTTAGCGAGACATTACGCAACGAATGGATAGCCTGTCCACAGCTTGTCAAAGCACTTGGAGCGTTGAGCCGAACACCTTGAGAAGCCGTTTAATCAGTCAAGATTACCGGCTTCTCCATCGGCCATCCCCTTTGATCTGCCCTCACGCGCAGAAGTCGAACGTTAGATCAGGCGGCTAAAATTGAACAAGACTGCTGGGACAAATTGGTTTCATCCAGCCCTCTTCGAATTCGGGGGACTTGCTCTTTTGGACAATTTACATAAGTTATCGATGAATCTATGGGGACAGGAGGCTGTTCCCACGAGATTGTAACCGCTCCGTTGTGGTCCTATTTTCCTAGGGAGGCTCCCGTTGAGAATGCGGCTGTCATAGAGGAAACAGTCTGATTTCCATTGCCTCTAAGTCACTTGCTTCTATCGTTCTCCATAGCCTGACTGGCGCTCGTGAAATCCAGATACGCGAGGTGCAAACCGGGTTCCGTCGAAATCGAGGCTACATTGACCACATTCTCACATTAGGTCATTTGTTGGAATACCGCCATGTGTATTAGCGACCCACTGTAGTCGTGTTCCTAGACATCAGTGCAACTGATTTGGTGGATCGATGTGCCCTTTGCTACTATATCTGTTCAGGAAAAGTGTGTCCAGCAAAAATCTAAATGTCACAAAGCGCTATACGCGCGTATGTCTAGTAGAGTGAGAGTTTGCAGCAAACTTTCGCCTCCTATCAACATCTCCAGCCGTTTGAAGAAGGTTGTCCGCTGTTACCTTTTCTCCCTTAATACGCCATCGATGACATCATGGAAATGGCGTTCGCCGGGCACGGCTTAGGGGGTATGGAGCTGCTCCTAATTGACCGACTTTCTGACTTGGAGTACGCCGATGATATTGCAAGCATACATAGCACGTGCCCAATCCAACACGGCCCATTCACTATCCGCTCGTACCCTAAGCATTTGGCCTCACTAGTGCCGCCTTGCACTGTCCTCCGCACATCATCCTTTCGAACGCACCAGCCTACGCATGCAACTTGGTTTCAGACTGGATATATGAGCGATGTTTTTCTCGAACCCCGTTGTGGATCATCGGAATTAACTTCCCTCAGCAGTAGTGGAATGTACTACGGGAGAAGCCTTCAAATGAAGCCTAGATATGAATTGATCGATTCTGCTTGCGGAACTGCATTGAAATTAATGAGTGGTGTACAAAATAGCCCGTGACTGATAGGATGTGTTGGATTGTTTCTTGAATTTATGACAGGTTACTCGTACTTTTTTGCCTCTGTTTGAAGTATTGAACAAGTTCGAACGTCTAGGTGCTTGTACCCTGACTTGCTTACTGGCACACGAACCGGACACTCGTCAGGCGAAGACCTGTTTTATCCCTAGAGACTGATATCACAAAACCTAACCTGAAGGTATCGTCGAGCAGTCATCTCACGTTTGTTCTCGCCATCCATCCATTCACTCCTGCTCGGCCCTCCATCAGCAGCTGTGGCAACAACATTCAGCTCGCCTCGATGTGTAAGTCAAGCGCACCCTCTACTCTGCTCCGACGCTTACTAGGCTGATGGGATGAGACTGTCCATCCGTTTACGGAATATCTGTTTTGCATTTCAGACCCTCGGTCTATTACGACATTCGAAACCATCTACCGGACCCATAATACAGATGGAATTTCACTTGCTGAAGCAAGATCTTGAAAGTTCCGAGCAACCTAGAGGATCAGAAAGTAACTGCCTTTTACTGGGTATTACATAGTCGAAGCCATTGTAATTAAGAACGAAGAGTTTGCGCTAGCGAGTGACGGATTTGATGTGAGTTAATCTTTTTAGCTATGTTAACGTTACTTAACCCTACTATTCTGTTCAGCTTCTATCCCTATATTTGCCTTTTTATGCTCTATCCATTTTTCACCAGTTGTGATTCTCATTGTTATATCTGATGGAGAAGCGGGTATCAGCAGTATTCCTTTCGTTTCAGTAAAAACAGAAACACTTTTAAGGTTCATCCCCTTAGAATTGCTTCTAAAATGAAGTTGAATGTTACTGTATCTTAAGGCGAACGTCAAGTCTCAAAGAAGAAACGTTTTATGTTCTGAAAGGTATTTGCTCTGAGGATCGCGTTAAAATCATGGCCCCCTGATGAGCTAAGAACTCGGAGATAAGACGACGAAACCAATCTCCGTATTGTAGATTTTCCTACTTTGCAAAAAGTATCGAGAATTTGTTGGAGGCGGTTCCTAGTCTTGCCTAGATCGTGATTTTTACCACCGTCCGCAGCGTAAGAAGCAAACGGGATGGGATCCTTTCTCTTACCACATTGTTGCGCTCAAACCTGACCACCTTCGGATACTCCCCATGGCAAAGTCCGTATCCCGAACACCAACTTCCTCTAGGCGATCGCTATGGAACAAAGACTGGAGAGGCGTTGGCCACTATTAGTGAACAGACTTTAATACGCACATCGTCGAGTCACTTACTGATGACCGTGTGGATATGCTCTGGTGTCGGATTTGGCAATTGTATCAGCACTGTTGGAATTGAAGACGAGGTCACAAACCGTATATCAAAAGCACGAGGCGCTTTTGCTAACCTTCGCCACCTATGGCGCCGATGCGACATCACTCTCTCCTTCCGTACGTTCGACTGCTGTACGGTTGTGAAACCTGGCTCATTAGCTCAGCCGTTATAAAGAGACTAGTTATGTCCGACCGCCGGTGCCATCGCAGTGTAGCTCATGTGTGATGGGAACATGGTGTTAGAAATGAGAGTGTTCGATGCCTTGTTTATGGTGTGGGAAGAAGAAGCGAACTGCTCACACCCTTATTTCACCCATCAGGCTTCGATGGCTGAGCCACGTGTTGCATAGGCCGGCCCACCGATTCCAGCGTCGCGTTGTTAGCTTGCCGGCGGTGCGGGTGGAAGAAGATGGGCGGTTAAACGATGATTTGGTCATGAGAAATGAAGCCTCTTAGTTCGAAGTTTGCCTCGATTGGAATCTCTCGGTTCTCTTATTGGAGACCGAAAGTCGAGGACGACGTTTGTCTGAATACACTTGTTGACAGCTAGGAGCCGATCTCAATGTCGTTTGTGTTGTGGGTTTCTTTGTCCCTCCCCTCCAACCACGATCTCTTTTATTAAGCATAATATAATTCTTTCTTGCGGCACAATAACAGGCTGTTAGCTCTCCGGAATGAAATGCATCCGTTACTGGTGACAGCCTGCGTGCCTCTGTTGCATGCTTTTTTCTTTTTGTATCGCGGCACAATAGCTGAGGTGTTTACCACCCGTAGCTAACGTGTATGAACGTGATTATGGTGCTTAATTCAACATAGGTGCAAACCCCTTACCGTTGGTGTGGTGTACAGAACTCCATCGAGCATTAATGTGGGCCTTTAGGATTTAAGACCCATGGGAGTAGCAGGGACTGTGTAATTTGGTGATTTCAATGCACTGGATGTTGACTGGGATCGGTTTAACTGCTGCCGTTCTCCTGAGTCACTTGATATTAGCCTTCTTGCATCAGTTCTCGAAGCCGACTTAGCACAATATTGCTCCAACTCTACCAGGATACGCCCGGGACAACCACGGTACATCCACGATATCTGGACTGACCATTCTGCCGCCATTTGGTCATAGCGACCACTGTACTCTTCTCCTTCCACAGACATGACTTTCGTCACTTGTGGCCGAGGAGTCTGTTGCCGAAATTGTTGACCCACCGATCCAGCCCACCTACAAGGGGCAGTTTTTAAGTTTGACTTGGATATCCCGCAAAGTCTGGATATCGACTTTGCCTGGACTCCATTTTGCGCAAAAATGTCCTTGCTCCATGAAGTACCTCTGATAAATGACCATCGTTTAATGTTCAGCGCAGCCTGATCATTGAATACCGGATACTGAAATTATAGAGCGTGGAGGTATAAATATGTGTTGCCCCATCGTAGTTAGATCGGGCACCTGCGCGGTGGCAGCATATTACATCTGCTCTACCTCTTATCCGGGTGCGATGCGCTCTCTATACCTGCTGTCTTCGTTTACTTTAGCGAAGCATTTGATAAGGTCCCTCATCAACGGTTACTTCGTAGGTTCCGCGAAATTGGTGTCATTGGCGACCTTTACCCCTGGATCGTGAATTTCCTTCATGGAATAACCATGCAAGTGCCAGTGATTGCTACACTTTAGCATCCAGTGCACATGACCATTGGATTTCCGCAACCTTCAGTCCTTGAACCTGAACTTCTCTAGTTCTTCATTAGTGACCTTTCTGGAACACTTCAAACTATGTCTAATCTATGCTGTTGACTCTAAGCTGTGGTCTGTAGTGTTCGACCCTGATGCCGCTGATAGCCTACAGGACTCATTAGGTCTGTTACTTCTTTGGTCCATCAAATGAGGATTATCCACCGGTACTTCTGAGCCACTCGGTACCTACCACATTGGTGGATTCCTTCTCAACAACGCCGCTCGAGAGAAAGATGTGTACTAATAGCTTATCATCTAAAAACCACCTAGGATATACTGAGGAGATTGGCCGCTGCCAACAGGGCATGCTGTGCTATAAAATGATTCTTGCGAGTGACGCGGGATATCTTCAGGGTCCTGTTTACTGCACTCTTATGGCTGAAATGTGCCCTGATTGGAAGGACAGAGAAGTGGTTCGAAGTATGTCTTCGGATTTCGGTATCTCTCCTTTACCTTTCGACTCAAGCACCTGTACCTTCTCACTGGACTACTGTCGCCACCACGGAGACCTCATCCTTAAAATGCGCCTACTAAAGAGTGAAATTGGAAGAAAATTATCAGTTTTCCCGGCACAACATAGGAGGCTAGTTACTAGGTCACAATTTGGAGATTTTTCAACCGGGAGTGCTCCAGGTTTTCCCTGCTGTCATCCTCTCCGTTCTGGTCTTAAATGAGGTCAGCTTCAAAAGATGATATAAGCCTCCGCCTAATGAGCCTCTAGTTTCTTGCACCGGTAAGCGAACAAGAGCCCTCGGGACTTCGATTTCTGATTTACTTCCGCGGCTTCTGCAAGAGATTGAAGCAAAAACAAAAGCACTCTGTACTGTCACGCAATACGAGGTTACAGCGACAAGATACAATAAAATTACAATAGTTCTGGATAAAGTTCAAACCAACACCTAGGTAGACCTTTTAAAGGCCTTTACGGTGCTACATTCTATTAATGATGGAGGTATCTTATTCCAGCTATTAACTACACGATTAACAAAGAATTTCGCCCTGATATCCAGCCTAGATCTGATGCTTGAGCTACAGTTGGTGTGCTCGCAGGTGATCTGACCAAGCTAGCTCAAACAGTTCAGTATACTGGATACCACTAAAACCCTTTATGATTTTAAACATCTCTCTCTCATAGATCCGCTCTTAGTCTGCATCATACCATTGAATACAGACCTAAGCTCCTTAGGCGTTTAGCGTGTGGTTTGTAACCTAGTCCCTCAATCATCCTTGTAGCCATTTTTTGTACCTTTCTATACGGTCCACGTCCTTCCGGTGGTGCGGTGCCCAAGCCTTTACACAGTATTCTAGATGAGTTCTTACCACCACTTCGTATAAGGGGAAAAAACCTCAACTCTATGCTGCATAAACATCTTTTGGGTCGAAACAATTTATTCCATGCTTTGGCAGCATGCTTACATTGCGATGAAGATTTGAACTCGTTCGCAACAATGATGCCCAAGTCTCATGCTTCATCTGCACGTCGCAGATCTAGGGGCCCGACAGATGTTAGCACCATAATCCCTTCATTTCGAGAAGTCCGTACCTGGAATTTGCTGGATTTTAAAGACAAATCCCATTTAACCGACATTCCGCTACCGTTGAAAGGTTCTTGGACAACATGTCTCAATTACCCCTGCTGACCATCTTCAGATCACCAGCAAAATTAGAACAAGAGTAATGGAGAAGAGGGTCCAAGTCGATGACAAACATAAGGAACGATAATGGTCCTAAAACGGAACCTTGAGGGACACCGCTGTGAGCAGTGCCAATGCTTGGTCTAGCTTCGCTGACCCTAACGCGAAAGGTTCTACCGCGAAGAAACCCTGCAATCCAAGTCAGTAGTTGATGCAAGCCAAACCGTTCCAGTTTCGCAAGTAAGAATCGGTGGTTAACCGAGTCGAACGCCTTGTTAAAGTCGACCTAACATATTTCAACTGAGATTCCACCATCAAGACAGCTAGTTATTTCACTTAAGAAACACAAGAGATTAGTAAGGCACGGTTTCTTCTTAACACAACCATGCTGCTCGGTTCCAATTAAGTTATGATCAACTGAGTGCTCACATATTCGTTTTCGAATAAGCTTTCCCAATCATTTGAGTCAAACGCTGGTGTTAGACAACTAGAACGGTGTTCCGGAGGAAATTGTCATTGTTCTGTTTGGGTAGTTTCAAGCGGCCGTTGGACTCCCAACTGTGTAAAACACTGGGACCGCGCTATTTGCTATTGCCCCGTCCATGACCATGCCCTAATGCACGCACACCACGCTTCAAAGCAGTGCCTAATTTTTTTTACCTGTAACTTGAAATCGCAGTCTGCATTTCGACAATTTCGTGACGATTTGGTCCACCAATCGTCAGTGGTGAATGAGGTTTGTAAGCAGAACGCTGATTGAGATCGTCTCCAGCGTGTCATGGAGAATGTTTTTGACGCTTAATGCGCACTCAACTTGAGAGGTTTTAGCTCCAAATAGATCAAAGTAGGGGAACAGATACCAATGGATAGTGCGTTTCAACGCGGCCGTTACACAATGAAACGTCTGTCAAGGAGTCTTTACATCTACAGGTACAG